TTCCTTTGATTACACACTCCCCAGATACTTCAAAGGATGAAAATCAGGAAGCGGCATGACCAAAAATCTCCCGTTCTTGCTCGATCCCGTGACTCCTGGGCAGGACAATGATAAACATGCCCGGCTAGCCTGTACAGGCCTTGGATAACCCAGTCCCCCCACCACAAACCCCCCTCCCCAAATGCTGTCGTGCTGCTATAATTTGGGATTTTGCCTGTTTCGGTGGAGTAATACATCGGCGCAAATCTGCGCCGTCTCCCCGTGCATTTCTTATCTGCTGTGCCTAACAAGTGGAGATAAGCCTGTTTTTATTACCCTCCCTGACCTCCTCCACACATATAAAAAAGTTCGCACTCTGAAATTGCCATTCCTTTCACACTCGCCGCGCATCCATCGCAAAAAACTTTCCGCCAGATAATGTGGCTGCTTTTGGCTTAAGAGATTAGGTGCTTGATGGGGAGAGAAAAAAAAATCCCCAAACAATCCCACTGTAGCCAAGATCAATTCCTAATGGGTTGGCTTGACTTTTTAAAAGGGACAGTCGGGCAAAAAAAAAAAATCTCCGAAAGCCTCGGGTGACCTCTGGGACGGGGCCGGAAAGGCCACGTGGCGGTGACGCTGTGGGATTGTCCGGCCTCGTGTAAATCCCTTCCCCGGGTTACTCTCTGCACAGCACGCTCGTCAAGAAGACGAGCAGCGTCTGTTTAATTATATACACCCGCGGCGTTTGATCATCACCAACACCATTAATGTGCAAGACGGAGCAAACACTTGCTTGATTTGCTATTCCCTTTCAAAATCTCCTCCTTTTGCTTCAGATATGTACATCCAAGCAAACTTTTCGCAAAGAGACGTGACAGAGTTGTAGTTTTTTTTTTTTGGGGGGGGGTTGTGGGGGTTGTTTTTTTTAACTCTTAAAAATTCCTTCAAATATGTCATCCTCCCAAAACTGCTGCGCATAAAAATGTTTATATTTTCTCCCCACTATAAACCAGGCGGTCTTTTTAAAGCACGTCAGCCTGAAATATAAATACAGTCTCACATTTGATAAGAGCGTGGACATCAAAGGTGATTCATCCAAATGTATATTGGTGATTAATCAGCTTTTTTTTTTTTTTTGTTTTTGGTAGATTTTTGAGGAGGTTTACATTTCTTTCCCCAATGCACCTCTACAGGCACCAATTATACGGAGATTTCTGCTATTTACGGGGCGACCAGGTCGCTAACCCTTGTGAATGGCGAGGCTCCACCGTGTAGTTTTAAGTTGTACTATCGCCATTGACCACTAGATGGCAGAAATGGCTTCAATGCACCTGCAAGTGTATTATACTGCCCCCCCCCCCCCATTACAACGTGAGTGGGCCCTTTTGCAAATTTGTAATGACTTGCAGGACAAACACGGTACCTCAACAATATTAAACGTTTTGTGTGAGTAGATTTTGATTTTGAAAAAAAATACACTTAATTGCACTTCGTGTTGGTTTTGCGCCATCCTTGAACAGCAATTTTTTATGCAGAACGAGAAACAACCCCTGCCCCCGGCATACTCCTGTTAAGGTAAAATTGAGATTAAAAATGAGGTTTTTTGTCGGTAGGAATCAAAGCGGCCGTTTTTTTGTGAAGCTTTAGCCTTATTTAAAGGACACTTTTCCCATTCTCACTTTCTTTTCAAATGAATCTCCTCTGGCAAATCGCACCTCACTTCATTCAAAGGAACTACAAAGGCTTGAAAACCGAACCCGGACACAAAAATGTCCCTAGGATCTTCTTTCCCACAGTGAGTGAGAGGCGAGCACGCGACCAGCGCAGCGCCTGGAGATGAGATGAGATTAGGACAGAATAAATTGATGGCCTCTGAAAGAGATTAAGTCAAAGAACAGCGCGTGTAATCTCATTGCTCACTAAGAGAAATCCTAGCCTTTGGATTTGGGAGGTCAACTGGGCACAACCCTTTGCAAATCTATTGATGCTGAGCTGGGCCGCAGCGCGAAGAATGCGGAATAATCGGCTGCACAGAAAAGCAGCAGCGTGGGTGCGCAGCGTGAAGAAAAACAGAATACACGAAGCCAGCGGAGGATCTCCGGTCCACGCAAGCCACCGCATCGACAACGGCACACGCTCTTAAATTATTCACAATCAATGCATGTGCTGCAGTGCAGATAGTTGCACTCGCCTCACGTTTTTGACATTTTGACTT